CATTTAAAATGGCTAACTGAGCTGAAGCAGGGAGGTAATCGATCTCAGAGCCAGTCAATATTTCAGTACTCTGTAGGGAACTAATAAATTCTGAGCCACATATTTCCTCCACCCCAGCACATCTAGATTTTACTCACCCAGGGAAATAATGGAAGGAGCAGAGTGGAAAGAATGACAGAGAGGAAATGGAACAGGGTAGGATGGTGAGGCAAACAAGCTCCCTTTTGAAATATGAAAATACACCATAGAGCTTGCAAGACTGATATCGCCATTTTAGATTTTTGTGCAGAACATGGCTGGGAACGTGGTAAGGCAAAGGAGCCTTCACGTGCAGCCGGGTTTTTGAAACAGAAACTTCTCAAATTAAATTTTAAATGGGAAGTTATGGCTATGCTGGGCAACATCTCCTTAAAATGCTTTGTGATCTTTGGGGAGATAAATATTACAAGAGAAACAGCACGGCCAACCACAAACAGCAGCCTAATAGAGACAAAACAAGTTTCTCCACATCTTAAATCACTATATCAGGTCCTTCCCTACTTTTGTAACTAGTTCAGGGTGGGGTGGGGGACTTATCATTAAAACAGATTGCCTCTGGGGGGGAAAAACCAAGCAGGCTTGTTTCAAACTCAGTCAAAAGGAATGTCTAATAAGCCTTCATTATACACTTGGCAGGTTTACTCTAGTTTAGTTGCAATATGCGGGACTGAGAAAATGTCCGATCTCCCATCCCTGTCTCTCTCTTCCTAAGTCATGATTGGGTACCAAGCTGTTGACACAACTGGAAGGACAAAACACAAAACTCAACCTGAAAAATGAGAATGGCCAGCCACATCCATAACGTTGGCAAGAAAGCGACATGGACATGTTGAGCAAGTCACCAGGATTCAAGCTTGACTTGAGGCAGTCTTTACTTTTAGACAGAACAAATAGTTTTACTTAATCTGAGACTTTTTTTTTAATGGCCAAGATGGTATTTATCAATGAAAAGCACCCCATCACCAGGATATCATCTGTTCTCTTCTGCTAGGCCATTTTCTTCTTTCTTCTTGTATCTAGCTATTTGACAGCTGCCTGTCTCTTCAAGCTTTGCTGCTGGAAAAAACCGGTTAACCAAAAGAAGCGTTCACTTTGATTTTTGCTTGAGGCCAATTCTGGTAACAATCTATGGAGCTGCAGAAATCTTCTGTTAAAACTACTCATTCATTTCACCTGCAGAGGATTTAGGGGATGCTGGTAGAACTTAAGCAGAGATTAAGAAAGCCAGCTCTTCCCTGACCGAGCGGACTGTTTTGAGTCTGTTGAGATGAGCTTAAGACATAATCAAGCTCGAAAGAGATTTTCTCCCTGCTCCAACTTCACTCTCTTCCTATCATCCACTCTTGTGCAAGAATAGAATTAGTACCAGCAAGAGAATTTATCCTGTTTTCTTCTCTTTTTTTTTTTCAAGCAGGCCTCAAACAACTTAATGAAATAGAATTTGGCACTGAAATTCTTTCAGAAGAGTAATGGTGAAATCCTCATGGGTGAAGTTACTGTTCTTCTGTGTATTCAGTGACAAAATGTCCAGGATTGTTTCACAGGACAATAGCCCTTCCAGCCATCTGGAGCCTCCTTGGCTTCCCCAGCTTGCAATGGATCCAAAGGGAAAGCTATCAGCAGCTCTTTCCTCCCGCAGGACTTCTTCAGAAGCAATACAGTTGTCACTTCTAAGAGAATCCTGCTCTTGCTAAATTGTTGGAGAGCTTCTCCTTCTCCTGGAGAAATCTGAAAGAGCTGCTCACTCATTTCCTCTACTCACAATTTGGGTCGAGAGTGTCGAAAGGCCATTTGTGCCCTGTTTTCCCTTTGCTGTGAGAAACAGCTTTTCCGCAAGCAGAGAGAAACTCTGCACAAGTTAGGAAGACATGCAGAAGCAGCATGTCAAGGTCAAGATTTGACCCGGCAGGCAAAAGAGGACCTTGGGAAGCACTCTCTCATCTTGGGCTGTTTTTGCATTGTTCTTTGTTTTCAAATGTTTTTCACAACTGTGAACTGCCCAGAGTTGCTGGGAATCCAGTGACATATAAATTTAATCAATCAATCAATCAATTAATTATCATCATCATTATTATTATTATTATTAATAATAATAATAATCTTTCCTATTATAGTTGTAAGGAGGATTCCTTATGAAATGGAAGACTGGAAGGAGAGAGGATTGTATCTGTTCCCCATTCCAAAGTATGTATGTGTGTGTATTTATCCTTGTCTTGCTGAATAACAGGGAGAGACCATCTTTTTTGGGGGGGGGGCACCTTTGGAATGTGAAAACAACGATGCCTTTACAAAATGGCTGCCATGAGGGCCATGGCCAGCCGTGAAGGATAAACTGGGAAGTCTGCTTTCTGTCACCTATTCTAGAAATTCTAGTAGCTAAGCTCAATTTTCTGCTTCTTTCCTGCAAACGGCTGGGCGACAGCCAACTTTCCATTTTTAGAAAGAAAACAAACAGAAAAATATAACAGACCTATGGTGGGTTTGCATATCTTCCTGGAAAAGATACTGACAGAGGCCAGCTTTGCTTTTAAAGAGGGAGTTAAAAGAAATCAAAACGGAAAGCTAAGACAGTAATTAAGGTCGGGTGGGCAGAAAGCCTGCAGTCACCATAGGAAGTGTCCATAGACACCACTTTGTCTATTCCTCCCCACTGAATATCATCTATGAGTGGGGCGGATGTTTACCCTGAGTGCCTGAAAAATACTCTTGTGAGTTTTGAGGTATCCTATGGGAACGTTAAGCTAAACCAGATAATTCTTGAAATGGATCAGAGTGGGCAATCTCAGATTTGGATCTCATAAAACCTGTAGCAACACTGTTCCCTATAATAGCTATTGAAAGATAAGGTCTCTTTGTCCCCTGTACTCCTCTGATGTTCTTAATATTTCAAAGTGATTTTTTTCCAAAAAATGCAGGGTCACTGCTCTGTATTACTACCACACCACCACATTCTCCTTTTCTTTAACATTTTGGACTCTTCTCCCTTCCATCCACAGGAAATGTAAATGATTTCATCTTAACAGTCTCAACAGTAGCCATAGGTAATAAATAAAAATTATGGGAATTTCCCCCCCAAGTACTTAATGAATTTTTAATGTTTCGTTCATTTTAATGCAATCAGTCTCTTGATATCACAACACTGGTGATGCAACAGTCACACAATTAGGTTACAGAAAGCTCAATGTAGTAATACAAATGAGGTTTAATTACTTCTATTTTTAAGATCAGAAAGTTTTGGAGATCTGCAAATGACAACTGTTCTGCTTTATGGAGATATGGAAAGGCAAAGCCATTTAGTGACTGCTTATTTTGGGGAGTAGGGTTTAATCAAGGTGCAGAGTAAAATTCAGTCTCCTTCAATCTCCAAACACACACTCATGAGACTTGGTCTATTCTTGCTGAACTGAACGTTCAATCTCATGAGAATCTGCCTTGCAAGTTCTCAGTTTTTTATGCCGTCTGAGGTTTCTGTTTTTCTACCATATTCTCAGGGTTTTGAAATGTCCTTTCAATTTTTGGGAGGTGGCATTTTGAACTGATGTAACAGCTGGAATTGGCAGAGGTGGTGGTGCTATTTTCTGTTTCATGTCTTTCCATCATTCTGAAGGTTCTCTGATCGATACACTTCCTGAATGCCTAAAACTGGGGATATCTGGCAATCTCATGAAGTTTTGAACGTTTGAAAAGAAAATAATTTGGGATCATCCCTGGGTTTAGAAGGATGCTGCAGAGGATTTAGGAAGAACATATCCAGGGGTGTCCTCAACATGAACATTGCAGGTGCAACTGGCACAATCCAAATCTTGCCTTTCATTAACCTCTCACCCATTGCATGCATGTAAAAGGGGTGGGGCTTTGTTGGGTCATACCCACTTTTTTGACATTGTTGACACCCCACCCCACCCCACCCCCCAAACATGTATCACTGCTTTTAAACCTATATCTGGTATTGAAAGAGGACTTACAGGGTTTTGTATCTTACTTTGCTTGGTTGAAGAAGAATTTATCTTTCTTGTGAAGGAAGACACTTTTTAATTACCCATAATCTGAACTATATTTAGAGTAGCCCAGCTGAGACATTAACAGATTGCTATTCAAAACATTTCCTCAATGCCTTCAAACAAGATGAAGCAAACTCTCTCATATTTTCTAGCTTGCCTGCTGAGTTACCTTTTCATCATGGACCTTTCTATGTTTCCTTTAAAAGTTTCCTTGAACCATGAAGGATAAACAACCTTTATTGGTCCCTCAGGAATTCTACCTCTTCAATTTAAGGGCTGTCAACTTGATCTCCTAATCCATAGCTAATGAGTAGTCTTTAGCTTCTGAGACATAGGTTAAGAATGGAGGAAGAAAGAGGTTGTAACAGCTGAAGTTCAGCCCAGAGTGAGGCTGATGGCGTCCTACTTCTTCTGAAGCTGTGTGCTTGCTTGCTGAAACAGTAGGTGAAGGAGCAAGGAGCAGACATGGTGAGAATCGTGTGTACCTCTTTCTAACCCATCAGTTGGTCATCTGATGGAAAATTGCATGGCAAATCAAATTTAAGGGGTTGAAAGCATCTTGAGAACGAGGAACATAGCAGTTGAAGGTTCAGTCCTGATATGGAGATAAAGCAATGGGATGGGATGTTTGATCTGCCTGATTGCCCTATGCTTGGCTCTTCTAGGCATAGGAGCCTTCTCACATGAGAATGTATGGCCTGTCCAAGCTCAGATTCACTCCCTGGAGCTTCTTCAAGGCCCCCAGGTAGTGAATGCAGCCAGACGGCAACCGATGCAATGAACCCAGAGCTATTCCATAGTCAGTAATCCTTCCAATTCAATTCCAAAAATGGCAGCACGGAGGAAGACAGAGCCAAAGCTGATGCAGCAAATGCACAACGTAAGTAAGAAAAAACAAAAGCAAAAATGATTCCAGCAATGAATGGACGACAGACGGCATGCACGTCAATAAATACTTACATAAATGTCTGCACCATAAAATCCATCCTGGTAAACAACACTGCAAAGATGCAGACACAAAGAAAAACATTCATGTTAGTGCGTTTCGACATGCAAATGCTCCCAACCCCTGAAACTCTTGAGGTTAGCCTCACCACAAGAACAAAATGGAACGAGAAAGAAAGAAAGAAAAACTGAAATGCAAACAAAAATATATAACGATAAGAGATACATTATAGAATTTACACAAGGGGGGACACTTTTCCCATGTCTCAAACAAGTCCGGAAGTTCATTGCTTTTCTTTTCTTTAGAAAGGAAAGTGGTAGCCTGAACATCTGGCCACTTTTCCAACAAGATGTACAGGTGTTGTATGCGGGGAGCACATCTTTCGATATATCAGCCTAAGGTTTTCATTGCCAAGTTCCAGATAGCCCCACAGCACCTAAAGGAAGTTGCCCAAGCTGTATGGATTGTTGCAATATCTCATCCTACTTTGCCATTCTAACACAACTCCTGTTCCATTTTTTAGGTAGAAGAGCCCCCTGCATACATGGCAAGGGAGCTGAGCCACAAGGGCTGGCTAATGGGGTCCAACCCTGATGCAGCAGGAGAGCAAAAAGATCTTCACTACACAACATGCCAGCCATGATGTTATCACTTGTGTTGGACCACCAGATTACCGGTTGCACGTGCACTGCTCCACTCCACTGGGGTACCAGTGACATAGAGGATCCTTTTCCATCTTCCATTGGCAAACCTCTCTATTTTACACAAGGAAACACAGTTTTACACCTCCTTGCTCGCATCACCTCAGATCGTTATGCACTGTGTGGAAATATCTAAACAAAGGGACCTGGCTGGGTATCTCCAGCTGGGAGAAGCTTGTTTTTAACCTGTCTAGAATTTGTTTAAAACTGTGTTTCAAGTTGTGTTCTAAGGAATACTGAATGTCTTGCATAACAGGAATTATTTGACAAAAAGAATGGTAGTGATAAAGACAATTTTCTGCTTTTTTCCCCATTCATATTCCCCTGAAATGCATAATTACAAAGGTCTCTTGGTAGCAATACAGCACTCATTCTAATGATCTGCATCACCGTCCAGCCCAAATCTTTGCAAGATAGGGTTGGTTTTGGGTGAATCCTTGGGAATAGGTAGTTACGTTAAATGCTTTGAAAACAAGAGTGGTGTACTTGTTAAGGAGCTGGACTAGAATAGGGGAGACCCAAATTTAATTCTCTCCTCAGCCACAGAAGATCCCTTGGTACATTTGAGCTAGTCACTCTCACTCATCCAAATCTACCTAAATAGGATGTTGTTGTGGGGGAAAATGGCAGTAGGAATACTATGTGAAGGAATATAGACCAGGGATTGGGGAAAGAATGAGCAAACCATCATGGGGGGAGTTTCAGAAAAGATACTCAGTCCTGAGAAAGAGGGAAGCATGAGAAAGAAACTCCGAAGTTTTGTTGGGAAAAAGGTGTAGAGAGAAACTCTGATAGGCTTTCAAGATCCTACTATTCCACCCTACAACAATAAAGAGCTTCCTGGAATCCAAGGAAAGTGATAACACCATGGCTGGCATATAGCCTGTTTCTTGGCCTTGCCTACTTTGAAGGGCTGACATCAATCTTGAAAGGTCAAATTTTGGCAGGGAAAAAAAAAGAGAGAATTTCCTCCAATGGGTGAAATGGGTATAGGGTAACTTTTAATACATGTTAACAGTTGTGAATGCACTCATTATTGGTATTCTTGTGAGTATAATACAAAGGGGAAGAATTGGCTTGGTCCTGCCTGAAGCCTTCAGATTAATCCAGCCTGTTCCACCTGGGTACTCAACAGATACGTTGGATTATAAATCTAGAAATTTCATCTGGCTTGCTTATCCAGGACAGGATGATGTCCTTCCCACTCTTATTCCACATATAAAACTCACCTGAATTGACAACTGATTCTTATCTAATACTGGCTGTGGAATTGTCTTCTGAAGGTTCTAGGTCAGCATTTCTCAACCTTGGCAACTTGAAGATGTGTGGACTTCAACTCCCAGAATTCCCCAGCCAGGAGTTCTGGGAGTTGAAGTCCACACATCTTCAAGTTGCTAAGGCTGAGAAACACTGTTCTAGGTGATCCATTGAATCCATCCCACGCAGCTCTCAGCTCTATCTTTCAGCATGTTGCTCCCCTTCGGCACTGCAGAACATGGGCTATCTAAGGTAACTGCTCTGTCTGATGGAGATGTGGGCCATGGTCATAGAATGGCTGAGTTGGAAATGTCTTCTAGGACATTGAGTCCAACCCTCTGCTTAGCCCAGGAATCCACTAAAGTCTGTTGGACAGGTGGCCATCCAGCCCCCATTGGAAAACCTTCAGCAATGCAGAATTGTTACTTTCCTAGACTGATTGTTCCACTACTTATTGTCAGGAAATTCCTTTAGATGCGTGTATTATTATTTATTTATTAATTCAATTTTGAGGACCATAAGCGTAAGCATTTTTTTAATCCCGCCTTTATCATTTTTATAAATCACTCAAAGTGGTGAAGAAGAGGAATACTCCTTCCTCCTCCTATTTTCCCCACCACAACCACCCTGTGAGGTGGGTTGGGCTGAGAGAGAGGGACTGGCCCAAAGTCAACCAGCCAACTTTCGTGCCTAAGGCAGGACTAGAATTCATTGTCTCCTGCTTTCTAGCCTGGTGCCTTAACCAGGTTAATTGAGTCATTAATTGGTTAATTGGGTTAGTGGCATTTGGAGGGACTTTGGTGTGTCTTCTGAAAGCTCAGGACTTGCTATTCCAGTCTGCTGCTGGGCCTCACATTTTCTTGCCAAAGGAGATCAGATTGTGTGAGGATATGACCATCTTCCCTCCTTCTATTACTCTAGAGGTCTTTCCCCTGGTTAGCTGTCATGGTGCACAAGCTGCTTTTTTTCCTTTTTTAAAATTGTTTTATCCCACCTTTTTTTTTTTTATAAATAACTCAAGGTGGTGAATGTACCTAATACTCCTTTCTCCTCCTATTTTCCCCGCAACAACAACCCTGTGGGCTGAGAGAGAGGGACTGGCCCAAAGTCACCCAGCTGGCTTCCATGCCTAAGGCGGGACTAGAACTCACCATCTCCTGCCTTCTAGCCTGGTGCCTTCACCACTAGACCAAACTGGCTCTACCATCAAGAGACTCAAGCTGGCCTTGAAGAGGACTCCAGGCATACTCAATGTTCAGCCTGAATCTCTTTCCTTTTCATTTCAACCCGCTGGTCATTATCCTGCCCTCAGTTCTGGTGCCTTGAACTACACTCAACCCGTTGGGCCTTGGTGTCAATATAAACGTACCCTAACAACATAAAACTTGTTGCTCTCAGCCTACTTATTTTCTGGTGAAAAAAAAAGTACAGCACAGGGTGTATTGGAGGGATTTATGTGTGAGAGTAAGAAAGAAATCCACTTCTATGTCTTAGTTACATTTCCAAAAACACAGAGTTTTAGGAATTGGGTTCTCTCTCTCTCTCTCTCTCTCTCTCTCTGTGAAAAAATGTTTTAAAAAACATGTCTGTGTAGAAAAGTTGTATGCAGCAAGAAAGGAGGATTTTTTATTATTCACAGAAAATTTGATGGAATGGAATAATGTGTATTTGTCTAAGACATTGACAGATCGCTTTCCCCATTCCTAGTACAGTCCAAGATTAATGGCCATCCATGCAAAAGTTGTCCTCAGTTGGGACTGAAAGCATCTTCTGATCCTGATTTTATCTATGTGAAAGGAAAAAAAATATGCAACAGGAAAAAAAAAATTGACGGAGTGTAATTCTGAAAACAACATATTGTATATTATGTCATTGTATTTTGCAACTGTTCCCAACATTCCATCAAACAGTGCTTTTTTCCCCCCAGTATAATAATTGTACATCTGTTCTCCATTTGTTAAAATGGCTTTCTTGTATCTCAAGATGACTACCCTACTTGAAAAAAAAGAAAAGAAATAGGAGTTTTAAGAATTGGTTATTGGGAAGATTTAACACACACACACACACACCCCTCCAAATCAGTCACAATCAAAATAAGTATCACCTCACTAGTCCTTGTGAATATAAGTAGGAAAAGCATGACCAGTCATAAGACAGACAGGGTCAGAACAAAATGTTCAATGGTTAGGAATTTCTATCCATCCTTTTCTAGGCTTAGCTGAACCATGATAAAAAGGGGGGGGGGGGAATAATACATACATACATTCACATTTACTTGATTTGCTCCAAAAGAAGGATTTTTTAGATTAACAAGGATAGCCAAGTCAGAATTCCAACCATCTATGGATAATATGGAAATAGCTGATTCTCTGAGATTGCCTGGTGATACATTTTGGCCAACCCTTTCACACGGTATGAAAAGTAACTAATTCTGGTTTATATGGAGTTTTCCTAAGCTTTGAAATGGAGTCCCCCTTGTGTTTTATTCTTTTTCTGGTAGTTATGTCCATATGAAAGTGTTGCAATTGACCTACTCTTTTTACAATGCTGAGAACCTTCCTTGACCTTCAGACTGCTTGAATAGGCCCGGATGGAGACTCAGGTTCAAATCCACCCTTAGCAGTGGAAGATCAGTGATTTGGCTAGCCACTTTCAGCTCATTCTATTTCACAAGGGGCATTCTTATTTTTCTTCTTCAAATTCCAGGAGGAAAAAGGGGAAGAGGAAGGACTGTGCCAATTCATCTGCTGCCATGTCACTGCCATGCCTTCTGAGACTCTTTGCAAATTAGGGAACAGAACTTCTGTCCAGATCTATTCCTCTCTTTCAAGAAAGACAGAGACCATCATTCTCAACATTTTGCCACAGATATAAGTGACCTAAAAAATGGAAAGAAGAATGGGGTAACCCAAAGAGGAATGGGCTAAATTTTCCATGGCTGGATTTATCAACATCTGGAGAAGGTAGACTCCAACAGTTCAAGTCCTATTGGGACTGTCTTCTCTTTAATCCCCTCGTTGGGTGAATAAACAGTATTTACTTATATGAGAGAAATAAATGTGTGCTATTTTAAGAGACAACAAGGGCAAAACCTATACTCCCCTCAATAATTTATGTTTTTGGCTGGCCAGTTCTCTACAAGCATCATACTCTTCGCTACAACCTTAAGGCCTGTACAGGCTTCCTATCTAGTCATCCTTTTGCTGTTAACTGTAATAATGTATTAAATCCTTCTGGGTTACAAGTCAAACTTTCACTGTTTCTCTCAAAAATTGTTTTAAAGTACAATTCAACCTCCTCAAGAACCAGATGTTCGCCATCACCCTCCAACACAGCTCTGCTACCCTGCGTCTCCTCTCCTTTGCGTTCCTTCTCAAGGGGAATTTGCATAACAACATGGGATCCACAAAATGCTTTAAAGCCACCAACCATGACAGGGCAAATTACTATCATTTGTCAACCCCTGTGTGTAAGGTGCTCCACTTCAGGCGACTGAGATTGGCTGCCTGCTGTGTGAGGTTGGTGTGGCGAAACAAAATGGTCGCGCATGGCATTCGCAAATGCTCGACTGCCTTTTTTCCCCCCCTGTGGGAAGTAGAAGATGGAAACTGCAGAGTGACAGGCTGGAGAAGCCCAGGGCTACTTACCCGCCATAAGCTGGGATCGGAGGTGGAGGAGCTGCAGCACGAAATGTGTTGTAGACGGTGCGACCTCTGCCTCTAAGGTGGGCCCCTCGGTACGCGGCAGCTGCGGTTGCAGCTGGATACGGGAACCCTGGCACTAAAGAAAGACAAGGAATGCAACAGACAGGAGTTGACACTTTTTCCTTCGGTCTCAGAAATGGAGAGAGTGCGTGATCATTCAGCATTCAACAGAGTCAAGGCTTACCCAAGTGAATAGCCATATGCTTTACTCAATTAACCCTGTCTTCGGAGACTTGCCATACTCTCCATAACAATAGACAACAAGGGTGGGTCGTTGTGAGTTATATAGGGAAAAAATGCTTGGCTTTAAACCCCGCACAAAACTATCTCCATTCCAGAGGTTGTGGTAGAACTTATGGGGCAGCTGCAGTTTGGCAGAAGTGAAACATTGAATGCTTTGGGGGTTCTGAGTTTGGGATAAAACAAATTCCAGATGGGATGAGTAGGGCAAAGCTGGTGTGTGCTACTCCTGCTCAGGAGACCCAGCTCCACCAGCCCGCTGTTGCCCTCTTCCCAGATCTTCTTCCCTTCTTTCCCTTCCCTCTAGTCACCACTGATATTCCTGTATTATAAATCCTGTCCACCGGCTCACAGCATATCCCAATTCTTCCCTGCCCTGATTCTCTCAGATTTTCTCCACCTCCCTGTCCACTCCAAATGTGTCTATTCTGCTTTGGGCATGGATTCCCAGAAGCTGGCTGTTCTGTGCACGGGATGTATTGCCCCTCTGTAGCCATTGTGGTCTAGTCTAGTCATTATGGAACAAAACAGATCCATGCCTCTGCAAAGATCTACCTATCTAATTGCCAGGTCTTCTCAGCATTTTATTGATATGGCCCAAGGAGCATACATTTGTTTCCCTCATTCATAATCAAACAGGACACTTGGAAGATAATTTCTTCCCTTTTATTTCCGTTTAAGAAACTACTCTTCCCCCCGCCCCCAAATGTGGGGTTTCCTGAAACGTTAGCCCAGGGGGAAGCTTGTTAGAGAAAAGAGATATGCCTTTACTAAATTTGTGGACCTGTAAAAAATGCCTACATTTGCTTTGCTTATTACAATATTTCACAAATACATTATATACATCTACTTGATATCTTCTTCCCTTCTTTATTTTAGAGTGGCCATTGCTTCATTTTAAGTTGTTTAATTCTGCATTTTTTCTATTACAGAAGTGGGCAGAGACATCCACAAGATTGTGGGGCTTTTTGGAGGTCTGGGTCCCTCTGCAACCACGGTTGCTGGAAATCAGGGCTGTACTTCATTACAGAGCAGAAAATGCATCAATCCATTACTAGAAGCTCTAACATTGGATTAATATAGGTTTAATTTAAAATGATCCCCACCCACTGAAACTTTTACAGTTGAAATGATTAAATACATTTTGTGAAGAGAGTCCTTTTACTCTCTTCCGACACATTAAAAATTGCAGTTTTGGTCTGCAATTTTGGGTTTTGGGAACTTGTGTGCTCCCTGAAGTCTCAAATTATGCTTCTTGGTATAAAAATATCAACAGACCTGAATTAGTACATACACACTAATGTTTTCAATAATGTCTGATGCACCTGATCCCCTATTTCTTGCTTTATTCCTGGAAAATATGATATATTTCAGCTATTCCTCCAATGTACTGGAACATTTTAAAGCAAGTTTTGTATTTTGATTTGCAATTTTTCTAGATTTCTTTGCCTCCTTTTATGTTATTTCAAGTTTCTCTCACATTTATTTGAAGCTTGCACTGGTTCTCAAGTTTTATTATCAAACTAATTTTTTAAAAAGCCATCTAATCTAGTGGCCGTAGATACATATAGTGGAAATGTTAATTATTGCCTCAACTGAAAAGCAATTTGTTTCATTCCCCTTTTTCGAGAATGAAAGGATGAATTTTTGGACAAGTTGCTTGGAGTTTAGCTGGCCATTTGCCTACTTTAAAAGGACAGCCCTCTCTTTAAAAGTTCCTGCAGGATTGCCTTTACCTGAAAGTTATTGCAGTATATCTTATTATTTTAATATTAACCATAATATTTACATGTGGATCTTAGTGATATTGTGCCTTTACAGCTTTCTGCTAATTTTTCCATAGAATATAGGCTGAACTGTTAATGCTGGTCAATAACTAAAATGAAGATTTGATGTGGCTCTTTTATTTGAATGTATCCTCTAGTTAAAGAGCTGTGTAGGTCCTACTTGGTTTAAAGATGCTGAGGAAGTGAGCACAAGAGGAGTCAGTTTTCTACTTGGCTGGCTAGTCTGAAACTAATTAAACAGACACACTTGAATCTGGAAACTTCTGATAAGTGATTTATTGCGGAAGAGCTAAGAAACCATTATGAAAGCATTCCAGGAGATGCTGATATCGAGGGCGAGTTCTATTTGTAATGATCAATGTTCGACCTTTTTGCATCCTTTTCTCCTTCCCATTCTACATAAAAGGCTAGGAGGCAAAAACTCTTTGGGGTATGGTGAGAGCCATTTCTCACCTTGAAAAGAAATCTAGCAACCATTTCCAAAACAGTCAGTAGATGCAGACCACCCACATTCACAAGAGACAAGGCTCCTCCTTTTGATTTCAGAGGAGCACAAGAAAGGACACCACAGCCTAGTCTGCCTACATATGGTTTTTTAAATTTTAAAATACAGTTCTCTCCAGAACTCTTCTGTTGTTACTTTAACTTTCTTCCTAATAAATCTCACTAATCAGAGCCTGAAAGACTTGTTCCTAGGATTAAGTGCTTCCACATCAGGGTGCTATAAGAAAAATCTGACAGGTAGGAGTTATAGTTTCTACCTGTTCTTTGCTTTGGTGACAGACTGATCCAGTATCAGACTGTTAACTCTTCATCATGAACATGACATCTCCTCCGTCAAATAAACATGATATGTGAGAGCTAACTTTCACCGGAAGGGCCTAGAAAGTTTTAAATGGGACTCAAGCACGAGGCAGGCCAGGGATGTAGACCTCGATCTCTCTTCCCACTGCAGTGAAATATAATGTATTTCTATTTCAATTTTTTAGTTTATGTCTATAGGGGTGAGAGTCAGTGGGAGTCAGGCAATATACATATTAAATAAGAGATATTTATAAAACAAAATACTGCAGTATTAATAAGTACAGGCAAAGGTAATGCAGATTTGTATCTGTTTTGTCCCGTGGACTTTCAGGGATGATGTCAAGGTGTCAACTCTCTCTCTTTGGAACAGTCACCAAACTTTTTGTCTGAACTGAAATGCTGTGATTAATTATGAAGTTCTAATTCATAGAAAAACTGTACAAAGTAATTTAAAAAAAACGGATGACATTAGCTAAATTTTCTGCAGAACTGGAAGGAAAGGGTAGCATATTTACAATGGCCCCTAGGTTCTGTCTAAAATTAAATTCAAGCTAAATACTGAGATTCCATTCAAAGTATTAGATATACTCCAAAGAAAGCTTAAAAATTTAACAAGATTTCTTGGAAAGCCTCTTCACTTCCACAAGATTGATCTATAATCCAATTAAACTTTATTTATTAAATGGTAGTCCTTGGAGTTAACTAAATTGCAGCCTGGTCCATACATCCCACCAAGCCAAAATGTGGTTTATTTCATTGCAAAACCTACTCACCATGATATGTAAGCCAGGCTTTAGTGTATTGTGTGGATCTGGCAAATTGTCATTTATTCAACAAACTTAGGTTAAGCTCATCATGGCTTAGCATAATGAATAAATTGAATCTATGTCTCTTACAGCTTAATTGGGTTTTAGAGAGATTAGCGAGAGTTCATTCTTTAAGTTAGTCTCATTAATATTTAAGCTGTTGTGCGTATTTAAATACTGCAGTGCGATGAGAGAGAGGATATGCATTATATAGTTTTTATAAATATATGGGAATAAATGAGTCTCACACTAAGTCAGCAAGCAAGCATGTAATGACCATCCTGCCTAAATGAACAAAGACACAGTTAGAGAGTTGATTTTAGAGCCTCCCTCTTAATCAACAAACAAAATGAATATTAGCAAGTTAAACTTCAATCAAAGTAAGGAAATACAGCTAATGATACATAGAAAACTCAGTTGAAAGCCAGAAAATGAGTATGCTGCCAAATAAGCTCTGGGGCTTCCATCAGATTTTCAAAGAAAGACTGAAATGAAAATAAAATAAAAATGCATAACACCCCAAAATTGTATTCCTTTCCACCAGAAGATGCAAGTTTAGGCCAGAGGACCCCATGTCACAGTCAAAGCCATGGCATCCACTGGGGGGAGGGTCTCAAAAAAGTCAAGATTAATTAATGTAATTAATTAATTTAATTAATTTAATTTAATTTTAAAAAGAAAGAAAATGGACAAGCAGAAAAAAAAAACGGGAGAAAAGATATAATATCAGTAAGTGGACAAAAAAGTTACAGAAGTCGTACAGCTAGCACTCAATATATCATTGATGAAAAATTAACCATAAACACCAAAATGCATTAAGTTATTTTTAACAATAAGGAAAAGGATTATAGAGATCTTTTTGAATCTCAGAGCTGGGTGCCAAAGTCTCCACTATTTTGTTACTTCAATATACCATAAAAAAGGAGAAAACTAGGAAAAAGAGAATTTTTTTAAAAAAAAGGAGATATAAGTTTCACTCCTTTTTGATGTGCGTTAGAGAAGGAGAAGTACTTGACTAATATTTCAGGCAAGTTTGTTCTGGATCCCTGGAAAGATGCGTTAAGCATTTAAGTCCTTCCAACCAAATATTCACAATCAATTACAATAACTAAGAAATTGCAACACTGCCTGATCTAGCAACAGTGCAGGTAAGCAACGTAAATGCTACCACTGATATTCCTCAAATATAGACAAGGCCACACTTTTGAATATTCCATCTCACATGGTTCTAAAATCATTACAGGAATCACTGCACCCACACCTAAAGGAGTGGGAGGTCTCTGAGTTTTAAACCTAGATTTAATAGGGTATTAAAATGACCAGCCAATCCGATGGGTCTAGACAGAGATGGTGCATAGATCAGCTCCAGTCCAATCAGGATTATCAATTTGATTCAGAAAATCAAGTAGCTTTGATTCAAAACGTTGAGTTGGGTTGAA